TTTGGATGAGTATCAAACAATATGAGTTGAGTATGCTGGATCGGCCAAAAGTTGTTAAAGATAAAAAAGACAGTGCAATAAACTGAAATATATTAAATATGAAAAAAGTGAAGTTACGTCAGTCGTGCTAGTCTCAACCAGAACGGATCCTAGACCGCTGCCCGATAACGTACAAATTAAATTTGGTTTTCCTGTTTCACAAATTTAGGTTTTAAATTTTCAAATGAATTTTCACAATTTCTCAGTACATTAAAGATAAAAATAATGTAATAGTTTAGGGCACAAAAATAACTTCTTGCTTCTAGCGTAAAACTTTTGTATTGACTGAATATTTCATGAATTGAAAGCACAACTATAGCTTTTGGAGTTAGAGTAGTACGTACATAACATCGTATCGTATGCAAGATTTGTAAGATGCAATTTGTGAGTAAATCTCAGAGGCGCTTTTTAACTCAGGCTTGATGAAGACTTGAATACATCACGACTAATCTCGAATAAAGCAAAATCGGTGACAAGGCTATAGGATATCAGAATCGTATCTAACAAATTATAAAATATTGAAAATAAAATTTTTTAAACTTTTCAGAAAGGTAAAAAATTTTCGAGTAAGCAAATATCTCTTTCAATAAATGTAATTGCTAAATTTTTCTTTCTTTCGGTTTAAATTAGCAATTCTATGTAATTTTAAATTATAATTTATTTTATAAAATTTTTTACAACGAAGTTCTACAGATAAATTTTGGAAACTGGCGTCAAGTTCTGACTCAAAATATAGTTTTTAATATCTAATGGCCTCCAGATTTTGTGAAAGAGGTCTCTCTACAGTCTTTTTTATTTTTTCATTGATAACCATCTGAAATTTAATATTTGGATTTATGTAACGGTTTTCATGATTGCTGCCATGTGTCATATAATGATGTTTGTCACATAATAGTATAGAAGAAAAATCAGCTTTCCATTAGTTCAAATCATTCTCAATATCGAAAAATCGAAAAAAAAATTAAATTTTAAAACGTTGTCGTCCATAACAAATTCATCTTTTGCTTCATAGTGAAGCATGTGGGTGTTTTTCTTTCGCGATTTTCAGAAATTTCATGCGCTCCATCAATTTCATTTGCTAACAAACTACTGTCTAAAGAACATGACAAAGCTTTCATTAATTCTTATACAAATTAAGTTAGGTTTTCAATCTTTCAACACATTCTGCAGAATATTTATATAAAAAAAAATTTATTTAGACCAAATAAAAATATTTAGTTTATCTTTGTTCATTGGACGAAGATCTCCGTTGTTGACATACAGTTTCTAACCAATCGAACATATTAACCTGTTGAACGTTGTTAGAAACGATGTGCATATGCGCCGATTAAAAATGAAATATATTTGTAACAACCAAAAAAATTTGTGAATTAATTTGAAATTTGCGTAGTATCGAAAAATACCCAAAAAGGGCCTACATTGTAAAATTTAAAAAAAAACAGGCACGGGAGTAGAAAAGTATTTATTTAACTAAGTAAACTAATGCGTGGAAATCTTTGCCTGATAAACATATCGGAGCTGAGGCGCAAACAGCCAAAAGTTATAAGACAGGCAGCGTCGTCTGGCTGAAAGACAATCGGCTGTAGCTCTGCTTTTCTTGTGGCCAAAACAGCACTTATCTACCTCTATCACAAAAGTTTGTGAATTGGAAACATTAGAAAAAAGAAGAACAAGAGGAGATTTGATTTAAACATACAAAATCATCACTATGTAGGAGAATTTAGAATCAGCGAAATTATTTGAGCTTAAGATGAACAGTAAAACAAGGGGGCGTAAATATAAGATCTTTAAGAAAAAGCTTGAGATCGATAAAACATAATTTTTTTAGCTGCAGAGTTGTCCACGAGTGGAACAAACTGGAAAATGAAGAAAAATATGAGCAGAAACAACTAACGATTTTAAAGCAAACTTGGCAAGAGTAGGATATTAAAAAAAAGTCTCAGAGTGGTCCTGTCACAAACTCAGTCTTCTTGGACCACTATGAAAAATGTTTTTTATATTATGTTAATTATTAAACCTTTTTTATTTTTGTTATTTGTTATAATCACAATACCGTTTGGTTTGAAATGAGATCGTGGTAATAATAATTAATTAAAAAACTTTCCAAAGAGAGAAGATGTAGAAATATTTTTTAACGGTTGCAATGAAATTCGCCAACTATAAAATTTGCATCTCCGCAAGCTGCTCTTTATTAACGGCCCCTAAGGGAATTGCGTGCAAATGTAAATAATCTTATAATAGTTTTAAACATAAATTTGTAAGAAATATTGAATAATGAATAAAAAATTAAATCAGATTTCTGCACTCATACAAATGCTTGTGTAGATTATTAAATTTTTATTATTAGATTATCACTATACATAGAAGTATATTTTTTGTTTTACCTATTCATTATTTGTTATGTACTTCAAGTGGAATGGGTAAATCGAAAGCCTTTTGGCAACAAAGCCAAAAACAAGAAATCTGCCAGTGCTCACGCACTGCCCAAAAGTAGTCACTCGCAACTCCAGTCACATCACAATCATCAAATCCACACTCCTGCCAGCACCAAAACTGCAAATCCATAATGCGTAGGGTTACATAGACACATGTATATACAAACGTTCAAACATACGTACATACACACACATACAAATGTATGCCTACATATAGTTATTTGGCTCCATTTCCATTTTACTCCAATGCATCGACGTTGCTCAAAGAATAAATCCAAAATTTTTATTTGGATTATACTACCTGATAGCTTGTTTAATTCAAAATTAAAACCCATTTCGTAAAAAAAATCAATTGTTTGAATCATTTCTAAATTTAAAAGAACAATAACACAACGTATGATACGCCGGAGAAGAGCAATAATAAATTATTACGAATTGGTGAAATATATCATTTTTGTTTCGGACGTTAAAGACAGGAAAAACATGCAACAGATGCAGATAACCTTCATTTCCTCTTCATCCTCATCATCCTAACCAAAATTCTCACATTATGAACATCATTTCATTGTTGCAACATCTCCTCATTACAATCATCTTCCTAGTTACCAACATCATCACATTCACTGTCGTTACGACGCCCTCCTCATCATCTTCATCGCAATCGTCAGAAAAGTTGCCTCCACCAATTTCAAACAACCATTTCAATTCATGCAATTTGTTCAAAATGTCTCTGCAACCAGAAAATTATGTTAACAACAATAATGACACTTTCATTGAAAAGGAAGAAAACAGCAACAGCATTAACAACGTTGACAACAACATTAAAACATTCGGTGACATCAAAAATATAAATGGCAGCAACAATACAAAAGATAACATTATTACGAATTGTGAAAGTAACGACAACAATACTGTAAACTCATCTATTAATGGTAATAGTGAAAATACTGATAATGGAAATACTTCAGTGGGTAGTAATTGTTGTGATGTGATGTTTGGTAGGCGGAAAGAATGGAGATCGTCGAGGAGGTTGGTTCTCTTCATTGTATTCGTCGCCATTCTTCTGGACAACATCCTGCTTACTGTTGTTGGTTAGTATATCGGTAGATTCATTATTAAGTTGCTTATTTTATTAATTAATAATAATAATATCACCAAAATAACGAACAACGTGGCGCCTGTTTCACGCGTGTGGAGCTGGTTAGCAGAAATGTCAACTCACAAAATGTAACTGCTTCAAAATATTTATAAAATGAAGAAAAAAATGATAAACGTAAATCCTTTTTTGTTTGGGACGGGATATGAAGATGAAAAGTTAATTAAGGGGTTGTGGTCTTAGGGCTCTAATAGTAAAGACGGCAATGTTATAGAGGTTATTCACTGAAGCCAATATAATGTTTTGAGAAGCTCTAATGAATACGAATACATCGTTTCATGTACCACGGCCCGCTATTGTGAGTTAATCGGACAGACCGATTTTAAATGAAATAAAATTTTTTAATTGATAACTTGGAGGCATTGAAAACAAGTTGCAGTGATCAA